TATTCAAACCAGATGATTGAAAAATGTAGAAGGGTATAAACAGCTTTAAAAGTATTTCAATCAATATTTTATTTAAAATATTTAAACAAAAAGGGAATTAATGGTATTAATATTAAATTTTATTTGAATTCGACTGCAGTTGGATCTATATATTCTAGATACTTCCCCCTTTTGTTTGTGAATGGGTCAAGATTCGGCAGAGTCATCGCCACGTCAACACCAAAAATGCTGGCCATTGTCCTTTATTGTTTCTGTTTCAGTTGCAGTCACTGCTGGCGATGAAAAATCGATGCATCCAAAATAAAACTCAATCAGAAGCAATTAAAGGACTTTACAATGGAGCGTCCGTAGAGGCAAGACAATAAGGAATTGTACCCAGAAATACTATAGAGGATCGAGGGCGTTGTCCAGTCAGGGTCACGCTGCACCATTCCCATCCCCTTTTTATTTTTCAGTGGCGTAGGTGTAGCTGCGTAGGGATCAGGGAACACCTGGCTGACTGGACGCCGTCTGAGTCCGGATTTATTTGGGCGTCAAAGCCGCCACCAATAAAAGTGGCAAACAAAGCGGAAAGTCCCTAAAAGATTCGAATTTGGCGCGTGGCTGCACTAGGAGAAAAATTGTTTTATTCAAAAAATAATTATCAGCCTGCAGTGGTTTTGAAATACCTTTTCATTTTTATCTTTTAGCAGTTATAATTTTAAGTTAATTATCCTATCGGATATTAAAAAACTTTAATTTAAATATTATTACCTATGTTAATATTTTCAATATTTTCAACATTTTTCGAGCTCTAGTAATAGTTAATAGTGCCAACTTACCGCCAATATTTTCCTTTGGGTGCCTTTTTTTCACTGTGCACTCTCAACCCGAATCCCTAGCTGACCGCCCGTTGTTTCCCCTCCTCATACAATCCAACATAGGTGCCAAAGGAGTCCCCGATTCCCGGTTCTAGTCGGGTTATATAGAAATCATGGCCATCGAGTTGGCACACGCACTCGTCTCGTGCCATTGCCACTGCCATTGTCCGCCGGCCGTTACAAATTGTTGTGGGCGTTCCAAATCGGCTTAGAGCTCGCCTTTCTCCAGCTCATCCCTTCACTTGGAATTTAATTTTGTGTGAGTTTTGATTTCGCTCTACGGATCGAGTCGCATTTCATCTTGTGTTTGGTTTTTGAGCGTTAAATCGCCAAATCCTTCGTTAATTTTGACGTTTGTCTTTGTTTCGGGAAGCAGTTAGGGTGTGGCCCATCGATGAACGGTGGTCAGTGGATAGATGACCCGTATTGGGGGTGAAACCGGAAGCAGAAGGAGCCACGCATGTGGGTGGAATTGTTGCCCGCAACTGCTCGTCGGCTGTAGATTAAAAATTTAATTCGAAATTAGCGCAATTGTTGGAATTGCTCCCTTTTTTCGATCGATTCGAGTGGAAAGACAAACAAAATCGATGACTGTCCGGCAGCTGTCGTTTACGTTTACCCGTTCCGAGTAATGGCAACAATTTCCTGATTACTTTTGACCCTTCGAATGCGTTTTATGGTTATCAAGGAATGTCGGTTTTCATTCTTCAGCGATTTGATTTGGTCAGTTTGAAGTGAGGGCTTACGTTCGGTACAAGTATGAGTATGAGTATGGCAGGATTCAACGAGGCCAGTAAGTTTCATCAAAAATGTATCACAAAAACTTTATGGATATATCTAATTTTTAACTAAATCAAACCGCGTTTCTTTTTCTTGTACTCATGTTCTCATTTTTTAAACCTAGAAAAATTAGGTCTTAATATCAGCTTCTTACCAATACACAAATGTTACAACAAAATTTTGTAAAATGTTTATTTTTTTAATTTAAAGATCCCTTAACTGAACCTAAATACATTTACCATCTCTACAACATTACAAAAAGTATAAATTTAACTAAAAACTCTTTGGGGAAACTGTAAACTACTGAAACAATTTTAAAATAAAAATGGATTAGTTTTTGATAGCAAAGTATCACAGCTTAATTTTCACAAATTTCTCTAGAAAATGGTGTCTAATTTCGCCGAACTGCTGGGTATATCAATCAACTGCTAAGAAATTAGATCGGGGATCCGGAGAGTGGACGATAATATCTATATGCTTCGGATGATGGGGGTGGGAAATGACCATAAAGGCCAAACAATGGCGTGTTAATGGCAACTTTAAACTGACACCACTCCACGGGAAGGTTAATCGCTTCCAGGCCGGACATTGGGCACCACCCGCTGGTATCTGGGCTAGGGTTAGGATTCGGTCTTTGGGATTTGGGCCCGGGTTTGGCGGGGGAGGGCCGCGTGATAAATGCATCGGACCCAGCGGGTGGACGGCGAATAGAGTTGTCAACTCGCTGGACTAAAACAGAGCTGGCAAGCCCTTTCGATGGCAGCTGGAATTACACACACGAAACATGAAAAATAGCCCCCGGGGGGAAAGTAGGAGCATGGCGGCTATGATTCAATTACGCTCAATAGAAATGTCACTAACAAATTTTGCATATTAATTGAATTGAGGCCGCACACACAGAAGGAACTACTACTACTGCCGGGACACTTGAACTGCCAATTGATTTTTGCGGTTTTTCGACAAAAATGTCGAACAAATTGTGCAAATTTTTTACTCGCTCCGGGACACGCCCTTATCAACACTACACTCGGCCATGTATCTCGTTTTTTATTTGGCCAGGTGTGGCTAGTTGCTGTCGCCTCTTGTTTGTTTTGCATTAAACGGTTTGTTTTGCTAACCAAAGTGTTGATTTTATGGCCGACCACCAGTCCGCGTTTTTTTTTGCCATCATCGCGAAATCGGAGCTACTGAATCAGTCAGTTAACTTCTAACAGATATGTGCAGTGTATTTATCATTTCAATCTCTGCAATTTGCAATTTATATGCTCTTGAAACACTAGAGTTTATTGCGTGGGAGGGCCAGCTATTCGTTGGGGTTATTGGTTTGTTCTTTTTTTATTTAAAATATAAAAATACTGGTTGTTTAGAGTGTTATTCCTTCAATATCTCTTCTTTGTTGAATTTCAGACATTTTCCAGTATCTAATTCGACTTATCTGCGATGACATCCATTAAATCTTCTGACTTAGATTGATTACCCCGAAGCCAGCTAACAGAGACTATCGCCTTGACATAGGGCTCCATAAAATAACACAATACTATGCCATACTATACTTTTTATTCGTACCTAATATAACGTTGTATAGTGCCCCATAAACCCTTCATTACACGGCACTAAAGCCGCGACAATAAAAGCAACTACAGCAACTAAACCCGAAAATAAAAACTCAATTTGAATTCAAAAACCACCAAAATGGTGCGTGCTTATCGCCTTGCCTTTTCCTTTGGACCCCGTCTTTAACCTAAACCCAAACCTCAACCCGAATCTCAAATTAAACCTGAACCCGATGAGCTCGATAAAGCGACAAAAGCGGTCTAGAAAATAAATTAAAAATACATTTTTACGTAAATGTGGCACATTAAAAGGCGACTTGAGGAAAGCACATAATAAATATAAAAAGACAATTAAATAAGTGCATAGAAAACAAAATCGAGACGAAAAACAACCGACTCAGCACAACAAAGGGGGAAAAATAAAAATACAAAATAGAAATAAAAGAGCACACGAATTAAAGTAACACCAAGATATTTCAACTACTTGACGTGAAAGGGCAACGACGATAATAGAGCCCCTTTCTATATACCCTACAATATAAGGTCAGAATATGATTGTTAGGCAGAAGGAACTTCAAAAGCTGATGAATTTTTTTTTATATCCAACAATTCTTTTAAGATATATAATGATTTTTGAGGCCTATAAATGTATCTAAAATTTTTTCAAAAAGACTGATCTATTTAAAATTCAATATACCCAACTTGTGAATTTTTTCCTATAAGCACAGCTGACAAAAGAGGTGTTAGGACAAGACCCAAGCGACTCGAGAAATGTTAATGTTAATTTCAATTGTTTTAATTTATTTGTGACCCCTTCGCCACCCGCCAAACCGTCACGGACTAAGTTAATGTTATTTATACATATATAACACGAAAAACAAAAAAACTGAATTAAAATGAAGGCAGAAAGAGCGGAGTGATTGTCGGTTGCCTCTATTCTTTGGCCTATCTGTCCAAGACGTGACTGGCATTCCACCCAGGGATCCGTCCGAGTCCAAAGGGTTTTATAGAGGGGAACGGAACCAACTGTCCCCGCGTATCTGGAGCACAACGAACGGTCTCATAACCGGGTCGATTCCAGATAGTTTACTGAACTCCCTGCCTGCGGCCAAGAAATAAATAGGTTTTTCCGAAAAATCTGCTTGTAAAAAACGAAGCGGAAAAGCAAGGAAAAATGCAGCGGAATGTTCGATGAAAAATGCGTTCGGTTTACCATTAATCCGGTGCCCTGATCCAGGGCGACAGATCATTACACACGCGCCGGGCTTCCAAAAAAAGGGAGGAGCTCCTCCTCAAGTGGGGACATGCGACAGGCGACTGTCGATGTTAGGGCCCCCTAACATATCGTAAGTATATGTAAATTTATTAATAAAAACTCCCGAAAAAAAAACGGATGCACATCGGTCCAAAAACGGCAGGGTGGGTGTGGTGCAGTTGTTGCCTGTCCGTAATTTATAGACCCGCTGCCAAATGACATGCTAACTAATAGTGTCATCATAATTTATACATACAAATACATTGCATTTGTTATTTATGCCCGAAACGCCACCCCGGCCCACCCTCCCGAAACTACAGAAGTCCCCCACCATTCCATCCGTGATTTCCATGCAGATCCCTGATGACAGAGGTCGCAGCACCCCGAAAAGGCAAAAGGTCATCCAGCTCTAATGGCTCCGTTTGACCCTCGGCCATATTTGAATATCGATTACAATTAAACGGTCATAGATAAAGTGAGGACACGTGATTATGGATTGATAGATGTTCCAAATATTTATATATTATGTGATCTATTATACTAAACTCTCTATTTAAACGGAAAATTTCGATTTATTCGCTAAAATACAGTTTATGGATTGCCTATGGATAGATCTTTACAACGGTGCTCCGTATCCGGTTATAGATGGGAAATAATCATGGGATGCGAGTTCTAGAACCAACTACCTCGGTGGGATTGCGAAGGGTTCGGATCGTTCAGGCCTGTAATAAAGATGTATTTATCTTTGGAGAGGTTAATATTATTAATTATATATACCATTCGAACGCCCAGCGTAGCCTCCGGCTAACCTCTGACCTCCACGCATGGAACCAACTCCCATTCCACCGCCAAAACCATTGCTCATGCCCCGATTCATGCCTGCATTCATGCCTTCATTGAACCCCATAGATTCAGACATTCCATTACCCATTCCACGGCTCATCTCTTGACTAGGTTCTCGACCTACTCCCTGGACAATGGCTGGACTATTGAAATATTTTAAATATATACAATAGAAATCTTAGGAGTCGTAGCTTTACTTACCCCACTTGAGAATGTCCGTAACTGGGCTTGAAATTCGTGTACATGTTCAGCATGTTTTGGTTGTACGAGGCGAAGGGATCACCTGGGGATGCGTGATGGGGGTGAGATCCCGATCCGTGGGGACTTGAGCCTGGCATAAAGTTTTGGGTGTTTCCCTGGTTCGAGTGCAGCCACTGGCGACCACCGCCACCAGGAGGCGTTCCGCCCCTTCCCATCTAAAGTTAATGATTGACTTAACCATACCCCGGAAAGACTTTAACAAACTCACCTGTGAAAAGTTGGGATTGCCCTGACCGCCATGACTGTACTCCCAGCTAAATTCCGGACCGTTCTCCATCTTGAGAAAACTTTAACAATTTTTAAACGATTTTTAATACAATTTTGTTGGCCGGTTGTTGTTATACCGATCTGTTACCTAACCGAATGCCGGAATAGAAATGAATGAATCAGAACGGAGTTCCTTCAAGTACACATAACTTTTCGTCCTATGACGACTTGATTTTTATTTGTGTTATTAGATTTATACCAAATATGATATTTAATTGTTTGTTGAACTCTATTCTTAAAATACTGCTATCAAAATATGAATAACATTAGATTAAACCAGTTCTAACGGAATCTTTGTGATAATTTCCCACATAATCCCAGTCATAATAAAATTCAAATTGTGAGCAAACACAAAGTCATAATATACATTTTTAATCACCATCTCATGTTATGGACAACAAGCCATTAGCCTATTGATGGCATTTAAAAACGGCTATCTAAATTTATTGAATTAGTCATTTAAGTGTCTGCTTTGCTGATTTATGAAAGTAATATCTAGATGCTGATAGATAAATAAAAACATGTTCAAATAAATGTGGCGTAATAAAAATTAATTATGGCAATGTTCATGTTTTAATTAAAAGTATTTTTATAATATAAGGCTTTGTTGTATTGTTAATTGAACGATTGACTATAAAAAGCGATGATTAAGATGGGATTTTGAACAAATATAAGCCAGTTTTAGCGTGGCAAACAAATAATTTATGACTGTTAGATCCCAAAAAATCTTAAAATATATTTGCAGAAAATATAACGGACCAAGAAGGGAAATCAAATAATCAACCTATTGGTTTCTTCGGTGTGTTACTTCGGTAGATAGCAGTCCTTATCCTCCACATACCGCCTGCCCTTGTAGCGACTTCCACCTGTACTCACCGCATGCCGCACAGCTGTATCTTTCTCGGCTGCCTCTGGCAAACCAGTTCCCTATCGATGCGAGTATTATTTATGTGCCTGGCCGATCGGCAAAACAAAGGCCAAAGGCTGACCTACAAAGGAGCTGCAGACAATGGCAGATGACCTCATAAATTGGCTCGTTATGAGGTTCATAAACATATTATTGCTTCATATTCATAATGCACTTGAGCCCAAGTGTGGGCATGTCCTTGGGACCAGCCATAGTATTATATGTATGCATCTACCTGTCGGTCCTAAAAAGTATCTGTAGATCCCTAAGATTTATGGCCTGAATGGCAAGAGCTGAAGGCACGTTAGCTCTGCTTTTTTAGCAGCAATTTAAAATGCATAAAATATTTGATGGTCCCTTTAACTCAAAACAAGGAATGCCCCTCCTTTGATCATCTCCCTGATGGCTAATCCCATTTTATGGCATTCGTGCGGTCTTGGGCCGTAAAATTGTTTTGTCACCTGTTGAAAACATTTTTTATTTTTAATTGAAAAAATCTTTTAGGAAATGCCACAAACTCCGCGTAGCACACAAAAATTTCATAAATTTGGGGGAAATGTTTTTCTTTCGTTGCTGTTGCTCCGTCTATTTTTTCACCGAGCGTCTGTCTCTATTTTTAGGCGCGGGGAAATATGAATTTCGACCGCTTAAGGTCCATCCTAATTGCTGCCAATTAACACCTTCAATAAGCCCGAATACCAAGAGCTCATTTGTCAGGGCCACGGGGGCGTTCAAATGCCTTGTGGCTGCCGAGGAGAACATTTTGATTTATCAACTCTTTTTACATTCCCAACTCGAGTGCATCGATCAGAGAAGGAGGACACAAAAATAGCTGGCTGGAACTGCCTGGGATTGGAGTCATCGGAGTCATCTGCATTAAGATCCGACAACGACAACACTCGAATCGATTTAACTCTTTGACCCCGCCCACTCGTCGACCCCAGGTTTTTCCGTGATGGGAGTCGACAGCCAACACATGCGAGGGCCTATTAAAAAAATTGTTTATGAAAACAAACATTTTCGGGGCAATTAATCATCGGCATCATCGGCGCGTGGGGGAACTGCCATATAGCAGACTTACCCTATAGCACCCATCTTCCCTATCGTAACCCCTTCGTCTTGTGCTTCTCGCGATAATAATGAAAATGAAAATGAGGATGATGATGATCTCCATCTCTGCGTCTGCAGTAGCTGGCTGAGTGCCTCCAATTTTCATTTGGAAATCGTTTTATGGCCCCAACTCGGGTATTTTGGCAGGGGGAGTGTTAAACGTCTGCCAATTAGTGATGCTTGTTGGATCTGTTGTTGCGATCGTTCTCCTAATTGGCTAAAATATGAAATGCCTTTCGCTTAATCACTGGAATAAATCGTCTTTCACTAGAGCGTATTGATAAAGATGTGAGTGTTTTGGGGGTGGGGCTAGCATATTGTTTTAAAACGTCTTTAATAGAAAAACTAATAAAATAGGAGAAATATAGTTTTACTTGGAAATTTAATAAATTCTTATAAATTTGTAGCAGCTATTTCCATTTCATTTCTTAAAGCTTTGTGTTAAAAAATCAATGAACTCAAACATCTCTCGCGAATACTGTTTTCTTTTTCAAAGATTGATATTTCTCCAATTTTATATCTACCTCTTAGTAAGATTTCTTTGTTGTTGTTGATGGCTGTTGTTGTTGTTGACAATTTGCGATATAAAAACTGATGTCCTGTCCGGCAAATAGCCTCGGGGGATGGCCGGGATGGATGGGATGGATCTCTCTGTGTGATTTGATTGTGAAAACCGAAACAAACAAAAGTAATTTTTGAATGAAAAGCAATAAATTTGAGAACATTTATTGGTTTTTGGCTGGCTGTCATGTGCCAAAAGCAGCAGCAACAACCGAAGGGGCATTGCTTGCATCATTTAGCCCCGGCTTTATGAGTCGCACAGGCAGAAAGGAAAAGATATAGATACATCCACCCACAGATGGACAGATAGTCGACTCCTTTGGCAATTGGGGGTTGGGCCTGGAATTCTGGCCAGAGGCACTGGAAAAAATGCAAATACAGAAATAGATCGTTAAAAGATATAGATAGATTTGTTATATGTATTTCTGTAATAATCATAAGATATTAGCTCATCTTAGGATATTATTTTCTGAAATATTTATGGACATTTTTCCAATCAAGGTAGTTCTAATAAAGATCTACGTTTGTTTTTCGGGCCTAGAATTATTTAAATACCATTTTTTTTATTTGTAAATATTTTTCATACTTATTGAGACTTCTTTTTTTGACCAGTGCATTTTGAAGGACCACTTGAGCGGGTTTCCGTAGTTCGGGCCTCGTCATTAGTTTAGTCCCCGCATGGCGCGTGCCCGGAGTTTTCCTATGGGTCCACGACCCCTTCCCCTTTCTCTCTTTCATTCCCGAACAGATCCCGCCAAGGCCGTAGAAGTGCAGTAACAATGGGCCAGAATACTTCCGCTCGGCATTTGCAGGAGGAACACTTTCGAATAATAACAATAACAATAAACCCGAAGCGGGACATTCAGGACATGCAGGACAATGGAGGTGGTGACCAGCGGTGGTCAGGGCTAATGAAAGGGGGTGTCGCCCGGTGACCAGTGGCCAGGGGTCAGGCAGTTTAAATTGTGTCATGTTCGCTTTTGGGACTCATCTCCCCTTAGTTTCGGGCCTTTTCACTATTGTCGCAGGCTTAAAATTGAAATATTACACTTTTCATTCGAAAGCGCCGCTTTGTCAGCAGCAATAACTGTGAAATCAATATCGGAACCTTTGGTGACCTTTTGCTTTTGCCAATCTGACAGATGACCCGAACGTCCTTCTGGCCATTCTGACCCTTGGCAGGACATTAACTCAAACCAATTTCCAGCGAAAATTAATGTGCCATATATGACGCTTCAATGAGTGGGTTCTGTCACTTCCGATCCCCATAAATGTGATCCTAATGATGGCACTTTTCAGTTCTAAAATCTGTCACTTTTCAAGGTCCTAAAGGACATCCTTTTAAAATACAATTTTAGTATTAGCGATTATTTTTTTTTCAGACAACCTTATTTTGTAATATTATCTTTAAATAATATAAATGCAATTTAAAAGAAATTCTTGTGACTTTTAAGATGTATGTAGTTGCTATAGGATCAAAAAGGTTAAGTATTAAACTCTTTTGACTAATATATTTAAATATTATAAAATAGAAGGTATACCATATTTATATTTTCATCAATATTAGATGAGAATATTTCTTATTTTCACAATTTATTTATCTTAAGGTACTTTAATAAGTTTTTTTTAGATATGGGGGTCTCTCTTGATAACTTGTCTGAGTAATCGTAGGAATGTGGTTCGAGTCCTTCGGGCCATTGGCCTTTTCCTGCCTCCCCCTAACCCCTGACCCGTGACCCCTGGTGCTTCCCTGTTCCTCCTCTTCCGCCCCACCAACACCAACACAGAGCCAACTGTCAACGCATTGTCAATTCTATTTTTATGTTTTATGTTTTTCGTTTTGTTTTCGTTTTCATTTATGTTTTCCCCTGTTGTTCTTGTGCTCGTTTTGCGTGGCTTCCGCTGCGCTTCATTTGGTCTCTTCAAGCGGTTGTCATTTTTTTGTCTGTGCCCTCCTTTTCCGCACCCCCTGTCCCCCTGACCTTTTTGTTTTTTAATATTCGAGTGTAATATTTCAGTTTTTTGTTCGGTTTGTTCTCTTTTTGAGCTGCCTACGCCGTCGTTTGTGGACGAGAATGTGTGTTGACAATTTGTTGGTTGTTTTGGAGAACCGCTAAATAGCTACAAATTTATGAGCGTAAATAGCCGGCGTAAATCAATTTTTAATGCATTTCCATTTCCATTTGGTGGCTTGGGCAAATGTCAACAGTAAATTGATGAGGCGACAGTTATGCCTACGAGGAAATGTTTATTGAGATAAATTCGAATTTCCTTTGCCGCTTGACTAAAAATATTAAGGATGTACAGGAAAAAAGGAATCGGTGGGTTTTTATCTTAATTGAGTTTGAATCACACACAAAAAAACGTCGCGGTCAAATCGATATGCGCATGGTAATATTCTGGTATTGCATGTGCATATCGTTTATACCAAAATTTCT